GACGCCCCTGTACGGAGATGCGAGAGGATTACAGTTATTGGGGGAAGTAGGGGAAGGGGTAGGCCTAGGAAGAATTGGAAGGAGGTGATTAGGCAGGATTTAGGACTTCTCGACCTGTCTGAGGATATGGCCCTAGATAGGAACCTTTGGAAAACTAGGATTAGAGTAGCTGGATAGGAGCTCGGTGTTGTAGAGGTAGTTTTGTACTGTGCTGTATTTGTTTGGAATCTTCTGCTATTGTTTGTACTTGTTACTTGTACTTGTTGCGTGTACTTGGTGCTTTATCTGTATTATACTGTGTTCCCTTCCATATTTTTATGCAGGTGGAGCCGGGGGTCTCTTGAAAACAGCCTACCTACTTTTGAGTAGGGGCAAGGTCTGCGTACACACACCCTCCCCAGACCCTACTGTTGTGGGATTCACCTGGGTTGTTGTTGTTGTTGTTTCTCTTTGGATTTGAATTTGTCTACTCCGGATCTTACAAAAATTTGCTTTTGTGAATAGACACCCAAAAGATGATTTTGCAGTCACTCTTGCAATCTTTAAGCCTACTATAAAAAAAATTCCATTGCAATTTTTTTGTTTGCTTATTTTTTTCTATCCTAAATGTAATTATTTGTTGCTTTGAAATTGTTGGGATAGCTAGGAGTGACCAAATATGGAACAATGTAAAAACTTAAGCATGACTATGTGCCCTATGTTCAATACTATGCATACGTTTTTTACCCCCAAAAAATACTATACATATTTCACACTTTCAGGAGAGCTTTGAGACTTGACTACTTGACTCTTCTTCGTAAAAATATCACCGATCCACTACGAACAATGTCGAAGGTTAGACATTACCCCATCTTTATGTTTTTAACTAAAAGAACTTTGTGCAAATGTATTTATTAGAAGGTTTGATTTATTTGCAGGATGAAGCCATTGAAAAAGTTGTGGAGTTCATGGATTTCTACTCAATAACCCAAGACGACTTCGACAGTATAGTGGAGATATCCAAATTCCAGGTTCCCTTTTTCTATTTCTATTTCTTTTTTCTTTTTTTTTTGTAAATTGTGAATTGTAAATTTCTGAGCTGTGATGATTTGATGAAAATAAACTTCCACACTGGGAATTTTTTTTCCTGCCAGGGGCATTCCAGTCCAATGGAAGGAATACAGCCAGCAGTGAAAGCTGCTCTAACAAGAGCATATAACAAAGGAAGCAGCTCCCGTGTGGTACGCACGGCTGATTTAATAACCCTTCCCGGGTTGAAGAAGGCCCCTAAAAAGCGGGTTGCTGCAATGCTGGAGCCCCTTGATGAAACCCTAGGAGCAGAGGGAAACAACGAAGAAGATGAAGATGAAAACTCAGACACAGAGGAAGGTACACTTGATGCAGAGATGAAACATATGCAATATAAACTAATGATTTGGCAAGATAAGTGTATTAGAGATCTTTTTTTTTGGTCAGATGATGCATTGGATCCTGAGAAGAAGCTTCAATTAGATCTTCAGAATCTCAATTCAAAGGGTATGTGACGTAATTTTCTATGCGCAACGCGATCTTCACTCCCTTTTTTAATTGTGAAATTGTGACATTTTCTTGCTCTGTTTTTTTTACCTGCGAGTAGGAATTGAAGTCAACATGGATTTGAAAGCTTCTGGTTCAGGTGCCAAGAAGGCACCCGCCGGAAGAGGAAGAGGAAAAGTAGCCGCGCCTAAAGCTGCAGAAAAGAGTGGTGGCTCCAAGAGAAAGCGATGAATGCCACCACCACCACCACAACAACAACCACCACCACCACCACCACCACCACCACAAACCCAGATAATGAAGGAACATCGCCGCCACGGTTTCAACTGTGGTTATCTTTTTTGGTGTTAGGAGAGTAGATCAATTGCTGATTTGCTGGATTGTTTTTTTTTTTGGGCATTGTTTGGATCACTGATTCTGATGTTATTATACTTTGCCCTCATGGAGTTAATAATGTAGTACTAGTACTTGCTTGGTCTTTTTTTTTACTAGTTTTAACTGTTTTTACTCCCTCTTCTATTAAGATCTTTCAAAACTTTTATTTTTATGTTAATATACATAATAATTTTTCTTTAATTGAAGCTTAAAGTTTATCCAGTTTGATTTGAAAAAGTCTCAATGAAGTTGTCAAACAGCAATTGGCAAAATGATAATCTGCAAAAAAATGGGGATGAATATTTATTTATGAACAGAGCTATACTACAATCACATTAATTACAATGTAAGCTTTGATACTATCATTATCTCATAGGCACAAATTGGCAATAACTGTTACGATGTGATCATTTATATATGCGTGTAAAACATATCAACATTCAAACTCAATGTCAAAATGAAAATACTCTAATCCAAAGAGATAGCTCAAGTTGCAAGACGAGCTTAACCTAGATTTGATTTTCACATGCGACAATTTCAATTGGGCAAGTTCTTTCGCTCCAGTAGCAAATAGAAGTTTTTTTTAGTGAAATTTCATCTATATCGTCAAACGGACAGAAAAAGATTCAGAATTTAATGATTTACACAAGAAAAATAAAATTACTCTTACAAAAAATGAATTATAAAAGCAATACTCCCTCTGTCCCAATTTAAATCGCTTCTTTTGATTTTTGGGTATATTTAAGAAAAATAAAAAAATAGAGTTGATTTTTCAAATTTGACATTACTTTTTAGAAGGGGTGATGATAAATGAGAAGATAAGGTGAAGAAAAGTGACTTAATTTAGGGGTAGTTTAGGTATTTTATTTTTAAAAGTTTACGAAAACAACTAACAGGCAACTTATTTTGGGACGGAGAAAAAAGACAAACATGCAATCTAAAATGGGACGGAGGGAGTATGAGGTACCAAAAGAATTGTGGTTCAAAAGATATGGGTGAAACTTAGGGGAGTCTAATTTTCACTAATTACAACTAATCGCAAAAATTAGTTCGCTAATAGATATCAGCTCTCTCTCTCTCTCTCTCTCTGTGAATTGAACTCCAAAATCTCATCAACTTAGCCCCAAATCCAGATCTCCCGGAGCTCCATAGCCATCGGAGCACAAGCTTTGCCTGAATCAACCGTTGAACGGCGCTTCAATCAATCAATTGTGAAGCTATGCCGGAGTTCTTTTCCTCCCTGGAGAGCTACACCAGGTTCCTCAAGCGCGACAAGCCTCTTCCTTCCTGGACCGACGCCGACGTGGAGGAGTTCATTTCATCTGACGCCGTTCACGGCCCTGCGGTATAGATCCTTAGCTGTGTTCTTAGATATCGTTTAATTTCTTCACGGTTTTGTTGATTTTTTTTTGCGTTTTTTTCCGTCTGGATTGCTTGCTTTTCCTTTCTCGTATCTGCTGCCTTTGATGATTTGATGTTTCTCGAAATTGAGTGGAGATACGGCATCCGAGTAGCCATCTCCAATTGCATGTGATTATGTCTTTGTTGATTTCATATAGATGAACACCTTCATCTTAACCAGGTCACTCTACATTTGAATGGCAACTTTGAAAGCACGCATATGCACTTCTTTTCCTTCTGATAATTTTTCCATTTATGAACTCAGTGGACAGATTTATTATCATTAGTTCATAACAACTTAGGTATATTGTCTTTATGTGCATCAGATTGTTTTCGGTTTCTTGTAGTGCCTTCAATTATTAGTAATTTAGGGTGATGAGTTATCATATCTCTGTTATTCTCTCATCTGTAAGGAATTAGTACAGTCAGTATTTTTAGCCACACCATGAAGGTTTGGGAGCGTATCATTGAGTATAGGGTGCGGAAAGGGGTTTGCATCTCTGAGAACCAGTTTGGTTTCATGCCTGGCAGATCNTCATCTTAACCAGGTCACTCTACATTTGAATGGCAACTTTGAAAGCACGCATATGCACTTCTTTTCCTTCTGATAATTTTTCCATTTATGAACTCAGTGGACAGATTTATTATCATTAGTTCATAACAACTTAGGTATATTGTCTTTATGTGCATCAGATTGTTTTCGGTTTCTTGTAGTGCCTTCAATTATTAGTAATTTAGGGTGATGAGTTATCATATCTCTGTTATTCTCTCATCTGTAAGGAATTAGTACAGTCAGTATTTTTAGTCAGTTTCTGAAAGAAAAAACTGTAATCTCTCTAATGGCACCAATGGTGGCTCTTCTAAATGTGATGTCACGAGTTCAATAGCCAGTGGTTGCGATAACTCTCATCCCTCGGTGCTTCAATAGGTTGAGAAAGTATATATGAACAGATACTACAATTGTAATAGAGTTAGTAGTACTAAAAAAACTGTAATCTCTCTAATTTGGTGCCTATATGAATTTGAATACATTGAGCTGATGAGAGGTGTCCACTTTCCAGCTGAAGACTGCTCGAGAAGTGGCTAAATTTGGTGCTGTAGGAAGCATAGTTGGAGGTGTGACAACTACAGGTTGGGCTTGGAGGTATTCTAAGAGTCCCCATGGTAAGTTTTATCTCATGGGAAAATGTTTGTATACTCCGTAACAGCATTTGTTACTCACTTTAACTAATGGACCATGGGAATTTTCAACTTCTAATGAGAAGAAGATGGTCAAGTAGATTGGGAACGAAATAACATCTTGTTAGTCATACGAACATTATATGACCCCTTTTGGGAAAAATCTCACTTTCACTGACCTATTTAATTCCTCTGTGCCATTTCTGAATCACTTAGTTGGTTGTGATGTCTAAGGATGATGTCTAACTGCTAACTTGAGAAATGCACCCTTGTTGATAATACCACAGAAAACATATTTGTCTCTTACTTTTGCTACAGCCGTGACAAATTAATGCTACATGGTTTGTTCTAACAAAAATAATTAAATTAAAATAAGTATGGTGCATAACAGCCATTCATATAACGCACAATGAATTCCAGAGAAATGATCATATAGATTTGTAAGCGTATGAAAGCAAAACCATAGAAGACAATTAGATTTTGAAACAGTTGACAACACTTTTAGAAACTTAACACTCCATCATTAATTGTATTTGTTGTGTTGAATTGATGGTGTAAATGTAGCCCTTAATGTAGAACAATACAGATAAAGGATTATGTAGCTAACCCTCATGCACTGAAAGTAATTCTCACTAGACATAAGAGAAAACTTTGTCCGTTTCTTTTCTATATGTATCTATGATAACTCTATTTCGAAATTTGGTAGCTCATTTTGCATTCCCATCATTAGAGACTAATTCTCTGGCATATGTGTTGCTCCCTCTGTCCTAATTTCCATTGCTTGTTCACCATTCACACTGGTAAACCTATCCACTTTTTTGCCTATATTCGTTACTCTATTTGAGAAAAATAATGCATATCGTGTCATCTCTTGTTTTGCATAACTTTAGATGTAGGTTTAAAATATAGTACGGCATAAATTCTATTTTTCATTCCACACCAAATTTCAAATGAATTAAACGCATCCATGTCTGTGGGTCTTTTTCGTCCTGCTACTATCATTCCACATTGAAGTTTAAAACACTTTCAATCTTTGCTGATGATGTATGATGGGGTGGTAGGTGCTTTATTGTCTCTTGGATTTGGCGCCATCTGTGGTTGGACGTTCGGACAAGAAATTGGAAGCCACTGGCATCAGCTTTACAGGTACAACACCGTGAATGCGCAAGCTAAGTTCTTGGAATGGTGGCAGAATAAAGCCGGAGGCCACTCTTAAAAACTTTTGCGGCTACCAACCAAACGCGGATACCGGCAGTTCTCTTCTTCTCCAACAATAAGGAATCACTACTACTTATGGTGATTGGGTTCTAAGTATGTGCTTTCAGATATTTTGCAGCCACAAGGCTGGTAATTGGCACGAATTTCTGATGTTTTGTCATCTGGAATGTTTATCCTCTCTATTTTTGAGCTGACAAAAGAAGGTTTACTATTTCCATCTTCAAATTTTACTATATTCAGTTTCATTTTTTATGCTCTATAACTCCCTATTATTTTAATTTTTTTAAAGATTTTTTTTGTACATGCTCATTCCAATCGAGATTACTCTAGGCTTCGTTTGATATAGAGAATTCAAACTATGGAATTAGAATTGAGGACAATAATTCTATTTTTGCTTTTTGGTAACAGAAAAATATGTGAATTTGGAATTGGTAGTGCTAAAAATGAATTGGATTTGGAGAATTTAATTAGGTTCAACTCCTAATTCAATTCCAAACCTGTCGATTTCATGTACCAAATGGATCCTAATTGTTCTTATATAAAGTTGTATTGTTACTGTAGTCGATATTTTTCTTCAAAGTGAGTTTTTTTTTTTTGGCACAAGTTTTCCCCAAACGATGGTTTTCAAAGGAATGCTTGTCTGGAGATTGGAGAAGTAACCGTATGAAATTTGCTTCATTTTTCTCAACTAAACATCCTATTCTCTTAACTAGGTTCAAAGTTTGGTGTGTCAAACCAGTGATTAACCTCAAAATCATTCGATACTATCAATTTTGAAATGAAATGGCAAAATACTATATCTTGTTAATATAATACGAAGTAAAAAAAAAAACAAACATCTATAATTCAAACGGCGTGCTTCATCTGTAATTCAAATGTTGAAATTAAAGCACAACTCGGTTTTTTTTTAAAAAAAAAAAATTGTGTGGCCGTTGTGATAGTTTGCCGGTGAATATGTCTTGCTGAAAAGGGAAAAAAAATGGTTTTAGGCGTTTTGATTGTTTGCCACTTCATTTTACCAATAAAAAGTTCACAAGTTTTACAAGTGGTAACTTCACTAGTACTCCGTAAAATAAAGGTTTGCAAATTTTTGCCTTTCTTTTTAGTTTTTTCCATCGACTTTTATTTTGCAAACTCAAAAAAACATGATAAATATTTTACCTTGCTTCGAAACAGGTTCTTAAAGAAAGTGTGGTGATAGTCTATTTTATTACTACTATTATAAATGTTTTCAAACACAAAAGGTCATATTTACCCTTCACTGTAAACCAAATTTTCATTGCCCATGCCGTGAGAGCTGACATCATCATTCCCAGAAACTCCATTCAAACCGCCATAGCTTCTGCAAAAAATGTGGCCAATATGAATTTGTAGATGGCACCATCGCCGCCACATGTGCTCCATGTTCGTGTTTGAGGAACGAAAGAAGTAAAGAGAGATAAGCTATGGAGTATCTCTTTTGGTGGTAGGGTGAGTTTTAGACTAAATTGGGGGTGAATTGGTACATATGGCACAAATTCGCCCAAAACAAAAAGTGGACAAATACATCATGACAGCCCAAAGAGGAAAACTAGATGATCACATTGGGACAAAGGAAGTATATGATTCAAAGAGGCTCAACAATAACTAACCCAGTAAAATCTCACAAAAAAATAAGATCTTGAGAGAGAATGTGTGTACGTCATCCCTACTCGAAAGTAAAGAAGTCGTTTCTCAGAGCCCTCTAGCTCAACGCGCAATCAAAATAAATACAAAAAACACAATATCACAAGCAAAGTATGAGGAATGAAGAGATTGGAATCACATGCAACTTTGATTGAATTTGACACAAAAAAATATAACTTTTTGAGTCCATCCAACTTAAGGTTGACCACATCATTAAACATTTACATTATACATATATGCGCTAGGTATACGTACATATACTGGCCCAACAGTCGAACACCCAAACGGGATTCTTCTTTCTTATTGCAGCAGGCTATTGCAATTGAAACGCGGGTATAAACTAACCAAAGGACCAGATGACAGGCAAAAACATCACTCCTGTAAACACAACCATATATTATATGACCCAATGAGTAAATGGCAATCAAATAAAACTTCAACAAAGATGAATTATCAAGGAGACCAGATAAAATGGCAATATTACTATGTCAAACCCTGCTATTTTGGATGAGTGATTTGATGAAAAGGGAAGAATAAAAAGAAACACTTCATGCCCCCCCCCCCCACCACCACCTAAGAGTGGCAAGGAGGCTGGGATCAGGACGGGTACTCATATGGGGACGGGGTAAGGAGGTGGTAAACACTAACTTTTCCAAGTTTTGCTAAGAAATTGGGTGTCGGGATATCCCCAAGTTCCCAAATAGGGACATTTAGGGAACGATTGACAGGGGCAGAGGGTGGGTTCAGGTCAGGCTACCGTGGGGGTTTTAGAGGGTGGGGGGTTAGGGCAGGTAGGAACCATCAATTTTTTGAACGAGCCATTGTGGGAGCCTCAATTCAACTGGTGTCACAATATGGACACCCATTTCGGGTGTAATTATAGCCTTGCCGAAATTACATATTAAAAAAACATCAAACGTTATACAAAAAAGGAGGTGACATAAATATGTTTTTTGAACATATGATATGAGAAAAAACTAAGGAATGTAGATTTAGTATCTTGTGAATTATGAATGAGAAAAACATTGGTCATCTGAACGGAGCAAGTAGTTTTTTGGTCCCGGTAGGAGAGGGAGTAGTTTATTTATTTTTTTGAATATTTGTATAGAAATAAAAAATAGAAATTACGTATTGAAAAACAACATTAAAAGCTCTTCAAAACAAGAAGTGACATGAGTACATGACAATGCTATTTTATCAAATGATCAATGAAAACACATACGTAAACAAAGTCAACGTACACCGTATGTAAACAAAACACAAAGGTAAACAAAACTACGAATTTTATTTGGGGAGTATGTCATACACCTTATGTAACTCGTATGTCACTTTTTTTTGGAAAATTAAATGAAAATTAATTTTTCTAAATCAGATATGACATTATTGACATGGGCTTTGTTTCTTAGAGCTAACTTTAGGCATATAGTAGCTTATTCTAAACTAAACCTCAGGGTATCAACACATAAAGGTGTGCAACTAAGCAGATAGATATACCAATGGGTGTCAAAAGGTACAGATACCTTAGAGAGAAGATTCTTCATCGTGCACGACTTCACATTGCAAAAAAGTTATCAGTCTGAAGCGGACCCCGCAGTACATGGATTTTCCCTATGACCCGGGGTCAATGAATGATTGCCATCAACTGCTGAAATCTGGCGATGTCCCGCACTATCTGGCATCATATTCCCATCCATTCCATTTGAGATCACGTGTGATACAGTAGGAGCATCGGTGCCTGCCTCATTTCTTCCTTCAGTAGAATTATTATTATTATTCCGAGAGAATAATCTTTCCTTCCAACCTCTGGTGCTCTTTGTGATAGATTCTTTGTATCTAGAAAATATCATACGAGTAGATAAGATTACAATGATGATCACATAGAAGGAAGAAACACAATGTTTACATCCATAAATTAGCCCTTATACCTCATTGACATGGCACTAAATCGTGATTTTATAGATTCTGAGAGAGACTGGAAATCAGATGGCCCAACTCCGTCTTGGTTACTAGGAGACGAGAGGGGAGACCTACACAAGAAAGAATATCAACCACACAAAAAAATGGCAGGACAAACACAAGTCTTAAATATGTTTTTTCATCCCGCCTGTAAAGTTAGTATTTTTGCCATCTAACTTACGTCTTCTTTTACTCCATCTCTGTCAGCCCCCGTTTAAAATATCAATTTGACAGGAGAATAGGAGACTATTATTTGGAAATATGAGGCGAAACAAATCTCAACATGCACACTTAAAGTGTACGTGTCTATGCACTTTGGAATAAAATATCAAGCATTTACAGAAAAACCAACATTGAAAAATCAGGAATGAGTTCTCCAAAGCAAGTTAGTTTTTAACTTTTTGACATATGAAAACATCCTAACCAGTTAGTCCCACATGCAGGGTGGGGTAGATAAACGGAGACCATACCCCCACCTAAAATAGATAGAGAGATTGATTCCAGCGGTTGACAAAAAAGACTAAAAAGAAAACAACATAAATTACAGGGATGAATAACAAATGTAATTCTTTTTCAAAAACCTAAAACCAAAAAATGAGACGTTTGCATGGAGAAAAAGAACCATATTTTACCAAAAAGTGAGATGTTTGCATGGTCAAAAACAACCATATTACGATAATCAGTGAATTCAAAAATGATTTGAGGTTCAATATTATGAAACAAAATAACCATATATACCTACTATTTGGAGAGCTTCCAAACAAATTAACACTACCACTGCCACCTAATCCAGCAGCAGGATTCTGATCCATTTGGGACGGGAGCGGTGTCGTAGTCAATTGGGCAGAGCCTTCTCCAACTGCAATGTTTGGAGATGTTGGGTCAGCAGCCATGAGCGCAGAAGTAGGATCCCCTCCAATCCTCTGGGTAGTAGTGTTTGGATTAGTCGAAAACACCAGAAAATGGGGCTGACCTTGAGTAGATGTTCTAGGCCTTTGACCTTCCCTCCGAACAAGGTTGCGTGCCCTACCCATGGCTGCAGCAGCAGCCAGGTGCTGAATAATATGCTCTTCAAGGTCAGAATCAGTGGCGCTTACAGGTAACTGCAATAAGAAATCTGCATATTATAATCATAAACACCAATAATATAGACTCTACATCTCACAAAGATAGTCCACTATCTTTTTGCATAACAGCAATAATAGTAAGACCCCACATTGGGGCCTATGAGGGTGGGCGTACACAAACTTCATGCTACCTATAAAGTTATAAAGTAAAAGACCCCTCGGCTCAAGAAAACAGAAAAACAAGTTAAGACAATCAAACATTAAAAGGATGACAATTAACAAGTTAGTGGAAACAGTTAATTGCATGTGAAGTTAACAACTTCTTACGTAAGTTTGTAGTGGTATAAAAAACTAAGAAATACCAAATTAAATACACCAATAAATGGTTAATTACATCTACATCTACGGATGCTTGATCAAATTACCAGATGATCCCTAAAATTTCTGAAACTTACAAATACACCACTTGACAAATCAACTGATATTTTTTGAAAAATTTCCATGATACTTTGTCCAACAAAATCCTAAAACCCCCTTAGGTGTTAATTGATAAAATGAAATACAAATATATTAGAGAAACATTATATTCTACCATATTTCAATGTTAATGGTGTCATTTCCCCAATAAAAGGTCTGCTCAAAAAAACTAATGAACTTGCATAAACTTCAGGAGCAATCTAGTAATTTGACCAAACCTTTGTGGGTGGGGTAATTATTTTATGAAGATACTGAACTATCTTAATGATACAGATCAAAATGAAATGGTGATTTCTCTTTGTGGGAATGAAGGAGTATATAGCATGCAACTTAATAGGACTTTAGTGCAATATCATTAAAAATAATACAAACATGCTGCAACTCAAAATCCCCTAAAGCGGGATGATGAAAAATTGTAGTGTTCCTGGGGGGATTCATTCTCATGTTCCTCTCTTGCTCTACCGCATCAAATAATTCTTGGCTACACACACAAAAAGACAAGTCAGCAAAACTACCCAGAAAAGTATAACGAGATATACCAGTGAAAGGTGAGGTAGCAGGATAAGGTAATATACCTGTTCGAATCTTTCAAGCTAAGAGGCTGCCAACACATGGGGCATTGTGAGCTTCTCTGGCCCCTGTAAAACAAGTAATCAAACCCATTGAGAACTTTGTTCTCTTCTAACTCTTGTACAAACTACAAAGCCAGAAATACGTCAATAGTGAGAAAAGTTTCAACCACAAGTTTAAAATTTTGAGAAGGTACAACTATCAAAAGTCATGGAATTCTACACATGTGTTTTCTGTTCCTTTCCTAAATTTACCGCATTTAACTAATTTGCAACTCCTTTTTGGAAAATTACAGAAAATATAATAATTGATTCGTTTGATCATAAAGGACTCTTTTTCTCTTCTTCTTTTTTACATTAAAAAAGCTTTTCAAGTAGAGCTCTTTCGAAGGATGAAGGGAGTACAAGTTAGGTCCCAGGGCACTATTAGAAATCTGATGGAGAAAACAGCCTTCACTAACTATACACCTATAAATGAGAAAACAGCCTTCACTAACTATACATTCAAGGGCCAATGTCCAGGATGAGATTATTAGCAAGTTTAGTAAGAGATAATGTTCTCAATCTTAAAATTCCGTTAATTACTCAAAAAAAAAGTGGATCACATCCCAAGCAAATTTTTGAAGAACAATCCATATA